GCTTCTTGATAGTACATGCATGTTTTTGGTTAAATTGTCCAAGTTTTTTACTTGGTCAATATTCTTGCCTTGCCAATAAATTTTAAACATTTCACGAATTAATTGCACTAATTTTTTTACTGCACCACACTTTTGAAGCTCTTTTTGATTGGTTCCTTCAATAAACCTATTAAGAACATTCATTGTTACCTTTTCATTAATATAATTGTTAATATTTTCTTTTGTTAACAATGCTGCATCTTGTCTAAAATTAAATAATACAAATATCAGACATGATATCAATTATAATATATTTGTATATATTTAATATATATATACTTTTCTTGTATTTTTTTATAATGTTTAGCATGACCCAATACTGATTGATTAAGTCTGTGCCGAAAATCACTTAACATATTTTTTGTTTTAGTTCGAATCTCTGTTCCTTCTTTAAAATAGGGTGGATACCCAAATATTTTCTTAACAAATTTATCGATATATGTTGCCGGGGAAAATTTTTCTCTAAAAAAGAGACATTTTATTTCTTCATCACATATATATGCACTATCCTAAAAAAAATTATTTTTATTTATTTATTTTTATTATTTATATTCTTTTTTTTTTAAAAAAAATAGAATATATCATAAATCTTACTCTATTATTATTTATTTTTGACGAAATTGCAGATGAAGGCATTGACGATTCATTAAAAGTTCCAATATTTTCTATTGATGATGAGGATGCCGTATACATTTGGTTGGCTAACTGCAATATAGATGGATGTTTTACTAGCCAATTGCATATTTCTAAAATATTATTCATCTCATCAAATTCTGACTAGCTTCATGTTCTTATAGTTTTCCTTTAGATTTTTCTTTTATAAATATTAACGAATTAAAATTTAATAAGATTAGATCATACAGTTGACCCTTTCCAAACCAGTATGCATAGTAAACAGGTTTTGTATCAGATTTGGGAGGGTATCGGATTTAAAAAATTAATTAGTTCTATTCTTCGGAATTTTTCAGACACTTGCTACAAATTTACCTCAACCATACTCGCAATTTAGATTCATTCATTTTCTACATCATAACTTTTCAGAATTTATGTCTTCAAAATACAAATAAGTTTCAGTCACGTGATATAAATGCGATTTTTTGCTGAATTATGCGCATGAAAATGGTAAGTTTTATGCGATTTGATTAGATACATTTATATAACACCATTGGAAACTTGGATAAAAAGACTACCGGATATTAGAAAAGACAGATTATCGGGTATCAATTATGGAACAGGTATAGTGTATCGATTTTTAACCAATTATAGCAGGTTATCGGTTTTAACAAGATCGGTTTAGGGAGGGTCGACTATATATTAAAAGTTAGATAACAAATCCAAGCTTAATAGACAAATACCTGATATACCTGATTGAACCTCTCTATTATACTTGTTACTTAAAATCGTTGTTGATGAGTTGGCTTATTTTAATATATAATATAATAATAACAAATTAAATATTAATAATAATATAACAATAATTTCTAAAAGAGGTGTAGCAACTTAGTGAAGTGGTCTAGTTGTCACCCTCACCAAACGTTATGGGAAGATTCCATGTTCAAATCCCAGAGACGGCGCTTTTGTAATATGAGAAAAGTCTGCAACGATCTTCACTAAGGTTGGCCCATGGAGGATCTGTCGAGACGG